TTGAACTTGATTGTAACTTATTTCTTCTTTACATTCACAATAAGAATAATACATTGCCCTCTACTACAACTCGTCTATAATATCATTAGGGCTAATTGATGGAGGTGAGTGTCCTTTTGATGAGATAAAATATTAAAAATTGCTATGGCTGATTGGTTTTATTACTAAAGATGTGATGTAAAGATTTTAATGGATCGTTGAAGATTTTAGGATATAATGCTTGCAAAAATACCAAAATTAGTCTAGATTATGTTAGTTTTTGCTAATTTGAAATGTCTCTTTTGAGAAAGTGGCTTGATATTGGGTAAATGGCTGAAAATGATTATTGTTGGTAAGCTGAAGAAATTTACCTATGATATCGGGTAGATGGGTAGTTTTGGATGGGTTCACAATGGTTTTGAGTGTTAGAGAATAAGGTTAGGCATTAATATGTTCTAGTTTGGTCTATAGCTATGAAGGGAGGTTTAAAATAATTATGATGTTGTTTGATGGTTATTGATATTAAGAGATGTTTTGGATGTGGATGAGAGGTGTGAAAATTTCAGAACAAGTGTTACGAAGGGATAAAGAATAAATTTAAAAGAAAAACAAAGATAAATAGCTAATATGTTCAGAAAAAAAACCACACTTGAAGTTAATACATATCAACCATATTTATAGGGATTACAATGATAAGAAGTCAAAAAAGGGTAAAATTTTGAAGGGAATGATAAATGGTCATTAATGAAGGAAGATGCTAACCACTTTTCTAATTTATTATTTTTTATGTTAACCATAAAAGCCTTCAAATTTGAAAATTCAAACTTTATATAAATAAAAATTGAAATATAAATAATAAATACAAATTTAAATACCTTTTGTTTATATGACTTGTGATGGGCCTTGAATGAGCCCTTAATTGTGAACTTTCTTCAGCTCTTGTCTAGGCTCTTGTAAGTATACATTTGACTTCATTTGCTTGAGAGTTTGAACCTTCACTTGATTCTTATATATTCTTCTTCATTTTTTATCATCTCGTTACACCACTTAATTTCTCCAACAAAATATGATCTCCATTTATATAAATAACCTTACAATGTTCTGCATCACTGATGATGTTATAAAATGTGTGTGATGTTTATATATTACTATTATCATTTATGGTATCATTTTTATACTTTATGGGGTATCAATTGTGTTTATGAAGCATAATGGAAGAATTGAAGCCTGTGGAGCATATGAAGCAATTTGGTTAGGGTAGTTCAAGTGCCCTGGCTAGCACGCAGGCACTGGTGATGATCCCCAATTGGCTAAAAAAATAGAGCACCTAGAAACCCAATGCTTTGGTGCCCCATCCATCATTATCTTAACATGCAAAAAATAGAGCTAGTGCCATGCCCACGTGCCTAGGTGCCCCATCCTTGAAATTCGACCCTGAATTTAGATAATTTTCAAGATTTGGAGATGGTTGAGGTGAGACAAGCACTTAAATTAAGAGTTTATCTCACAAATAGAATGGCCCATTTTGAAGAGTTGGAGATCAATATTTTAGAGTCAAGAATGCACATCCAATATAATGTTATTTGCTTAGTCTTCTAGGTTATCTTTACTTAGTGTGTGTGTGTGTGTGTGGAGAGAGAGAGAGAGAGAGAGAGAGAGATATTAATGTGTAATTGTAAGAGTGTGCTTGTAATCAAGTAAGAAGGGAATTATGGTTGGCTTACATGTCTTGGGAACATAGATTGTAATTTTATCGAGTTCTATCTTTCTTAAACTCTTATTCCCTTATTTTTATTTTATGAATACAAGTGTTATTTTCATTTCAAATCATGCATAGTATGTAAATTTCCTCTCTTCCTTAGATTGGTATTCTTTGAAATCTAGAAAAAAAAATATATGTTGATTTTTGGAACTTTTAATTTATGTTTTTATTGTTTTAACCTTCTAAACTTAATTTACATTCAAACTAAACATTTAAATAGTTAAAACAAGTTATAATCAAGGACAGTCGAAAGAAGACTAAAAGAACAATCAAGTTAAAACGCAGGAGTTTAGTAGAATATGAATATTACTAGTATATTCTTATAAACTTAATAAGGAGGCCTAAGAATGCTTGCAAGGTTAAAAAAATCTAACTATAATGAGATTTCAATGACTTTTATATGTAGAAAAAGTGTAAGAAGTAATAGACCCTGTTTGACAACTACTGTAAAAAAATCATTTAGAAGAATTTGAATTTCATTGAACCTATTCAAGGAAGAATCTCGCAATTATCAGAAAACTCTTCTCCCTAACTTAAGTTTTTATTTTGAAATTAAGGTTTATACTCTTTAAATTTTCACAAACTTTTGACACTTCAAACTAATCATTGTATTAGTAAACTAGAATATCATCTTTTTTCTAAGTTAAACCATTATCTATGGGCTTGATGCATAGACTCATATTTTGCATACTACTTGATCAACATATATACTTATATGATTGACATTTATGTCACTGTTGAGTTGATCAATGGCAATGTTGCCGGGGAACAATATTAATTTTTCAATTTAGTAGAATTTTATTTGAAAATTTTAAGTTTAGGTTTAAAACCTATAGTGTTGTAATGTTTTATATTTTACTATGCATTTTCAATTGTCTGAGTTATTAATTATTAGTAAACCAGAATATCATCTTTTTTTAAAATTAAACCGTTCCCTACAGGCTCAATACATAGGCTCATAATCTGTATACTACTTGATCAGCATATATACTTATATAATTGACATCATGTCAATGCTGAGTTGATCAACATTTTGGCATTGCTGCCAGGGAATGACATTATTTTTTCAATTTAGAAGAATTTTAGTTGAAAGTTTTAGAGTTTAGGTTTAAAAACCTATAGCGTTATAATGTTTATATTTTATTATGTATTTTTAGTTGTTTGAGTTATTATTTATAGTGTTAAAAACCCTAAAATTATTATGATTTGTGTTTTCTTTTTTTTTGGCACTTATATTTATTAAATTTATGATTTAAGTAATTTATGTAATTTGTTAATTTTGGGTCACTAGTTAGTCTTAAATGGGTATGTTTATGACTTAATCTATTGACCTAGTGTTATTTGACATTAAAATAAAAAAAAAACAATAGAAATAAAAAAAAAACACACAAAAAAAAGAATTTAGGAAAAATGAGAAACCACCGAGAAAAGAATGTTCAACTTAGACCACTTAGTGATTCTGTTAAACCTCGGTAGAAGAGATTCATCAGAGTATTCATAACTCTAGCGTAGAAGCTAAGACTTTCGATATGAAACTTATTATAATTCAAATGGTTTAGAACAAAAAATTTGGTGGGTCACCCACTGAATGCCCAAATTTACACTTATCTAATTTCTCAGAGTTATGCCAACTATTATGTATAAGGGTGTCTGCAATAACATCATCAGAGTTATGTTGTTTTCATTTTCCCTAAGAGATAAGGTTAAGATAGGGCATAACTCATTACTAGTATGATTCATAACCACTTGGAATGACTTGGCCCAAAGATTTCTAGCAAAATGCTTTCCACCTTCTAAAACTATAAAGCTTAGAAATGACATTACCTCTTTTACCCAAATGGATAATGAGTCATTTATGAGGCATCAAAGAGATTTAAGGATCTTCTTCAAAAATGCCCATACCACACCATTCCTAATTGAATTATGAATTGATTCATAATTCAAACATTCTATAATTGGTTTGTGAGATAATTGTAATTGATCATATATGTTGCAGTAAGGGTAAGCAATCCAGATTTTTTTTAAGGGGGCCTATACATTGATTGAGAAGGTGACTATAAATAATTTTTTATGGCTTTTTAAGAGAGTGAACTTGAGAAAAATAGACAACATTCATGAATAAGTTATTATATCAATTTTGATTGCTCAGGTAGCTACAATATCCAAAATGTTAGATAAGCTAAGCTTAAATTATGCATTGGGATCACTAGTAATCGAAGATAAAACTTATGGATTAGTAGTAGATCCTAGTGTTACATCTATGAACTTCTGAATGTAAAAAATAATACTCAACAACCCTAATTCTAATACATATAACCCAAGTTTGGAGAAATCACATGAATTTTAATTAGATAACAATACAAATGTAGAAAATTAGCCATGGGGTAGTAAACAACCATATTTCTTATGCAATTAGAACAATCAAGAAAGTAATCTCTATCTGGGACCCATTTGCCCACCAAGATTTGCCTCCAATACTCAATTTAAAGAGAAGAGATAATCATTGAAAGAAACAGTGTAGCAAATGGTATATCAGATACTAAGTTAAGCTGTATCCATTATAAGTATTAAGATAAAATTAAGACAATTAGCTAGCTAACTCATTCAATCATGGACCCCAAAGAATGTTACCAAGCAACATTGAAGTGAAAAGTGAGGAATAAAAAAGAAAAAAAATATGAAGCAAATCCTTTAGACTTAGAATTGGAAAGGTGATAGTCGAGGTAGAAAGGGAAGAGCCTAGAGTAGCAGAGCTTAATTCTTAGCCTGAGAGAACTATTAAAAAAAATAAAAAAAAAAAACTAATCATAATTTGTTTTGAAAATGTGTTTATTGTAGAAGCTCTAGCATGATTAATTGAAGCTATCTAGTACTTTGATTAAAACTTTTAACGTACA